AAGCTCTTTGTTATGCCCTCATTTGTATTGTTTTCTTTGCCCGCCACTTTTAAACCTCAACGTTCAGATCTCGTGCCATCTGATATGCTCTCCATAGGACATAAAGAGACCTTGCAATTTTGGATTCCTACCCATGCCACCTCAGGTGTGATAAACTCTTCTCCAATAAGGTTTACTGTTTACGTCACTTTCCCTTTTCCCATTAAACACAAACCCCACCAGTCACGCCTTTATTCTGACTGTAATGCTATGATCATGCCCGACGGTATGCTACCCACTAGTTGGGAATAAATATTATTATTATTATTATTAAGAATTATCATTTAACAAGGTGTTGCTTAGCATTTTTCATGGACTAGCGCAATAGTCTGGACTAGACATATTCTGGATAGCGCGATTCGAATTTTACCTCCGCGCAAAGTCAAACGAAGAGAAGTTCGTGCTCTCTATATGCTTCTCGGCCGGGTGATCTAATAGCAGCAGAACATTTACCACTGCAATGCGTGTTACAGCACGCCTTTCACAACTGATATAATTCTCCCACTGGAAACCCACGTCCTAATGAGGCCCATAGTGTGAACTCGGCTATCTCTTTACACAAACTCTCCCCAATACTCCATGAAGGACTGATATGTGTGTGAGGTTGGCCGTAAAATTGCGTTTTGTCCCAATCCCACGAGTATCCAATCATACTTACCAGCCGACATCTCGTGACACATTAGTTGACCTGCCACACGCATGTCGTGCGTCAGGTGGCCTTGTGCCTGGGTGTTTGTCATGTAGGACAAGGTTGATTAAGTCAGCGGAACAGTGGATGGAACCGTCATCACACTGCAGGCCTAAAACCCATTACGCTTTTGCCGCCATTGGCGTGGACTATTTTAGTACCTTTTTGTACGCAACGAAGGAAAGTCGAGGAAGCAAAACGGATGTGCGTTCGCCTGTTTAAAGACGCTGGCACTCAAATTTGTGATAGCTCATCCCTTTTCGACTGACTACTTTTCATGGCGTTTTTCCGTTTTATTAACTGCCATGGTTCACCAGAAGAAATGATCAGTGACCAAGGATGAAAATTAGTCGGAACCAAATTAGAACTTCGGCTATTTCTGAAACCGCTATATTGCGATCCCGTTAATAGGAGAATGAGAGCTGGCTGGATTATACGGCACTTCAGTTCACTCTATAGAAGTCACCGCGAAGGAGTATGGGAGCGTCAGATACCTTGCCCACCGAGTACTGATTGCAGCTTCGAGCGAACAGGTGTCAACGGACGAATCTTTGTCTACCTTCCTAGCTGACCCTGAGCGTACTTTAAGTGACAGCTCAAGTGTACCCGTCTAAATGATCCAGACTTTGATGTGCTAACCCGAGCCATTTGTTATTAGTACTTTAACAGCTTGGAATTTCATGTCCGTGGTGGCTTGAACCCAAAATGTTGTTGCACCAACCAGATACCGCGCAGACCAACTACCATCCCTCCTGGATTTGGTCATCACCAACGAAAGACACTTCGCTGATCAAGTAACATTTAACGCTCTACTGGGACATAGCGACCACTGTGTGCTGACCTTTGATTTCATCTGCTATTGGGCCAGAAATGTCGAACCTCAAACGCGCTTTCGAGGCTTCTGCCGTGCAGACTACTCAGGAATGCGCNCCTGTGTATCAATCCATGAATCCATGAACCCGTTAATACACCTGAAAGATACCCCTTGTGTCAGAGCCTGGAGCAAGTGTTGGCCGATACGTTTTCGCATCAACGGTTGAAATAGTATATTCTTCTGGCACATTAACGACAGAACTGCATGTGAAACAGCCGAGGTTTTTAGTAGGAGACTTCGCATTCTTCAGCGGCGGAAATCCACTGAAAGAAAGGCAGCTAAGTAGATACCAAGCCCGGGAGTAATGCAAATATTCGAAAAGTTTTAACAAGGATCTTTCTGCTCAAAAATAGCCGGATATTTGGTTATCTACCTTATTCGTGCTTCGACGCCTCCACCAACGTCACAATGTTTGACCCTCTCTTCTCCACATTTATTGGCTCCTACAAATCTAGATTCGACTTCGTTCAAAACGCCGTAATTACTTTTGCAGCCCTTCGTTTGGAACTGATGTCACTGTATTGAGAAAAATTCATCTTCCGTTCCTTCTCCATTTGTTCATTCTAGCTGAAAAACCCCAGGGTTCCTCTTCAAAGCCGCCCCCTCATTAACAGCCACATATGACTTTCAAGTCTTTCAAAAAAGCGTCTGCCGAAAAATTTAAACTCATTAAACGGGGTACCCTTTCATGGTAAATAGCACGAGGTCTTTCAGAATTGTTTATAACCTTGGTTCACCGTCGATTTTTATGGCCTCATGGTACGGCCTCCAGGATGGAGGGTCTGTTCTAAGAACATCCTAGTAAAAACAAGTGCTGGATGGACTCCTTTTGGAAATGCTTTTTGAAAGAGTGGTTCTACACTATCCCGAAGATCACGCCCACTTACCCTCTCAAATGCCCCAGCGTCTTCTCCACCATCTTGCTAGCACTTGCGTACGTCCACCACCAATGTCCTCCGTGATGCTCATGTGTGTGTACAATACATTCAAACCCTCGTTGTACCAAGCAACACGTGGTGAAGTAAAGCCACTTCGCTCACCTTCGGCCACCTCTCTAGGTGACACCAGAAATAACTAGCGCTTAAAACCGGAGCTCCCAGCTTCATACCCGCTCACGTGTCTACTGAATCTACAGACCCTAAGGGAAACACTGAATACCGAAACCAGATTAGCCTGAGGGTCTGATATCTCGAGAGCGGTTAGGCGCAAAAGGACTGCGAGGCACTCTTATTCGTTTCGAATTTAAACTAAAATCGACCGATTTTTGAGTTTACGGATCGCGGACTTCCTGGGTATATGTGAACAAGGTCTATTCGCCAAAAGCTTCGAATCAGGGGCGTCCGTTTAATCATCTCATAAAGCCAAACGACAGTGATCCAATGACTTGAAAACTGGTTCCGGAGACTGAGAGTGCTGACGAGGAACTTTAACCAATTACAATTACATGAAATTTGATCGAATTTTCCCTACCCTCATCACGTTACTATTAGAAATTTACCTATGGCTTGGTCTCCATTTTTACCAAGGAATCCATAATTCATTCAGTCTATGGAAAATGAAGCCAGTGGATGCACCAATGGCCTAGTCGACAAATCATGCGAACCAAAATTCATAAGCCTAGCCTAGCCTCTAAAGTCTAGCATATCTATGAGAATTAAGCTATGGAATATAAAACAAGAGAATAAGGAATAGGGCAACGAATAGAGTAGCAGTCATGTTCGTCACGTCCGCCACACCTTGAATGGGAGTGGGGAAGTTTATAGTCCAGTGGTGGTCTTGACCGCAACCTTTCGGATCTTCTCGGAATGGAAACTTCAGACTCTTCACAGGTTGTGTGTTCTTCAAATACGTTTTGTTCAGATACCATAAGATCATTTACAAAGGACTCATTAGTGTTTGAAACAGCAGGAGTGCCGTTAACAGACTGACCTCTGGTATTGAACTCAACCTGGTCAATGTGTCTCCGATGACAAGAGAGATCATCCAAATCGAGAATTGTGACCATTCGTTTGCCATTTGATGAAAGCACTATTCCTGTTGCGGGTCGTAAATCATTACCCTTGAAAAATGTAACATCAGCCGTTTTGGCACAGTCAAGACTTGTACGCAACGAACGAGATTTAAATAGAAGCGCGGGACTCTTCCCAGTAACGGAATGGACGGCGTTCCTGTATTGCATTAGAAAATTATCAATCCCACGGTCCAATTCCACAAAAGTAGTGGGAGAGAGTGAAATAATAGCAGATTTAAGTATTCGGACAAAATTTTCAGCAAGTCCATTCGACTGGGGATGTCGCGGAGCAGTAAACAGATGTCGACAACCAAGACCCTTCAACCATTCCTCGAGGAATTTTGCAGTGAAGTGTGTGCCGTTGTCAGTGACCAAAACAGTTGGTACACCTTCGTGGCTGAATACTTTCCTCAAGGCTTGCTGAGTGAATTCGGCACTTGGAGAAGTAGTTAGAAAAACTTCAGGCCAACGGGAATATGCGTCAATAAGAATTAAAGCATAGTATTTACCAAGAAAAGGACCACAGTAGTCAGCATGAACTCGTTGAAATGCTTCACAAGTAACTGGCCACGGATGCCACTGTGAAGACTTGTTATGAATCTTATGTGCACACTTAACACAATTCTTAGCAGTATGCTTGATATCAGCATCCAGTTCCGGCCACCAGCATGACAAGCGTGCAAGGGATTTCATTTTATCGACACCCAGATGACCAGAGTGTAAATCTGCAAGAACAGCCGCTCGCTGAGTCGGTGGAATGACAACTCTATCCTCAAAACACAGCAAACCATCCGGAGTAACGGACAAGCTTTCGCGGCGACAGTAAAAAGCAGGAAATCGGCGTCGTTCTTGCTGCGTCCAGCCACGTCGCAGTGCAGAGAAAATGGGAGCGAAATATCTTTTAGTGTCAGCAACAAGCACATCCCGCTTGACTGGTAATGGTTGAATCAGTAGACAATCTGAGTTGTTTGAATCAGAGTCACATGATAGAATTCTTGACAAGAAATCGACATGAGGAATCATTTTCGCACTACGATGAACTACTGTGTAGGTGTAAGAACTCAATGCAATAATCCACCGTTGCACCATAGCGGCAGATGACTTCGCCAGAGACTTCGTTGGATGATACAAGAACTTCAAAGCCTCGTGATCAGTAGCAATGGTAAAGTTCAATCCAAAAAGATACTTATGAAGCCGTTTGACAGCCCAATATACAGCAAGTGCTTCTCGTTGAGTCTGAGAATATCCACGTTCGGCTTTTGAAAGTCGACGGGAAATGCAGATCACTGGTCTACCACACTGTTCGAGGATTGCTCCTATTCCAGTGGGAGAAGCATCAGTAATGATCGTCGAATGATGTTTGGCGGAAAATGGCTTCAAAACAGCTGAAGTCTGAAGATAACCAAGCAGTGCACGCAACGCCTTCTCATGGTTGGAAGACCAAGAAAATTGATTGGAAGATATGACATCAAACAGACAACTTGCGTGTTTGGCGAAATTAGGAATGAAACGAGAGTAATACTGAAGTGCTCCTAGAACTGAACGCAGTTCTTGTAGATTGGTCGGTGATGGCGCATTTACTAAAGGGGATAGACGTCTTGTATCAGGTTTAAAACCGCTGCCATCCACAATGTAGCCAAGGCATGAAAATGATGGGACACCAAAAGTGCATTTTTCAGGATGAATAGCTACATTGAACTCAGAAAATCTCTTCAGTAAAGACAACAGACGCATATCATGGGTAGCTTTGTCAGCAGCGTGCACAATGACGTCATCTTGGTACGTCTCAACACCCTCCAAATCTTTTGCAATAGTATTCATAACTTGCTGAAATACAGCTGGTGAAACGTTCAGACCAAAGGGAAGAAAATTGTATCGGAATAACCCAAAGGGTGTGTTGATCACGGTAAGGTTACTGGAGGCTTCGTCCAGTGGTATTTGAAGATAAGCATCTTTTAAATCGATTTTTGAAAACACACTTGAACCTGATAAACGATACAATACATCTTCTGGCTCTTCCGTGGTGCATGTACGTTGTAGTAGCCGCGTATTTAGCGTAAGCCGGTAGTCACCACAAATTCTCGGAGTAATACCATCAGCCTTCAGTGGGGTAACGATCGGAGTTGCCCAATTCGATGACTCAACAGGAGTCAGTATTCCTTTCGCACACATTGAATTTAATGCTTGACGAACAGGCTCGCGTAAACCAAATGGAATAATCCGTCTCTTAAGAAATATAGGCTCTCCTGTAACTTCGAGCCTCATCTTGGGAATTTGCATGCCACCTGTGGCCTTAGAACATTTAAGAATCAGTTGCTTGAGTTCATTCTCATTCGCAGAAGTCAGTAAGGTGATACTGGTTTGCAGTAAGCGTAGAACTTTGAGTCCGACGATCGATGGTCCCGACGTTGATACCAAAAAATTACAATCGATACAGGTACCTTGTAGTAACCTCACAGGGATCGTGCAACTACCAACGAGAGGTACAGAATGTCCAGTGATACCGCGAATGTTAATATCTGTAGGCACTATCACGGCACTGGGGTAGAATGCAGTTAGATCTGATTGTGGAATGATGGACTCAACACTACCAGTATCAACAATAAAGCCATGCTTTTGACCAGAAGCGGATATCAACGTTTTAAAAACATGTGACGAATTTTGGGACAAAACAGATAGAGAAAGAGTAGAAATATCTTCAGATAATGTCTTCACGTCAGTGTTTGGGTCAGAAGTTAAGTGACACACTTTCTTGGACTTACAGACAAGTTGAATGTGTCCTGTTTTACCGCAGCTAAAACACTTGGCTCGTCTGTGGGGGCATGAATATCTGGAATGGTTTCGTCCACAAGACTCGCATTTCCCGAATTTTTGAGCCATCGGATTAGGGTTACGATCTGTGAAGTGACGTGTTGATGGATTTGAGGCACGAGAATCTGTTCGAGGTTTGAATTTGTTGTTCGTCCGCATCCTTGAATTATTTCTTTTAGAATAATTTAACAAGACTGCTTCCTCAGTCTTCGTCACTTGCTTCACATCTTCATACTGCTCACATATTTTCCGAATAGTTTGAAATTTCTGATCCGGACAGAGTAGCAGCTTCTGCTGTAATTCGGGCAGCTGAATGCCAGCAATGAGTCTATCACGCAGCTGGTCTTCCAATTGGGCACCGTAGTCACATTTGGCTGCCTGTGTCTGCAGCTGTAACACGAAATCACGAACCGACTGAGAATGAGAGCGGGTCAACATATTGAACCTAGCTCTTTCGGCTGCTACGAAGTTAATCGGTTTGAAGTGTTGAAGAACTTTTTTCTTCAATGCAGTGTAAGAAATATCGATTGGAGATTCAGGATATACTAGATTCTTGATCAAATTATACGCCCGTTTGCCAACGAAATGTAGGAAATATGCAGTGAGTTTCTTATCATCTATATCGGATTTTGTGAAGCACCATATGTCGAACCGTTCCAAATAATCCTCTACGTCACGCGCAGTTGAATTAACACCTAATGGTTCCATTTCGGCAGGCATGACGAATCGTTCCAATCGCGACGCAAAAATGTGAGAATTAAGTTTCGTACGTATATCGGTATAACCCGACAAACTAGAAATCCAGAATTCAGCGAAGCGTAACAACCAGCACGTATGTATTCAAACTGGCGAATATGTACAGCATATGGAATATTAAAACAAGAGAATAAGGAATAGAGCAACGAATAGAGTATCAGTCATGTTCACCACAATATCGCGGGGGAGTGGATCCAATTCGACCTACCTCCTTCAGTTGGCAATACACCGCTCCGCAAACTACAGCGTTTAACACTAATCTCACCAGATGAACTTGGGTCTCTATTTTCATTTCCAGTTTTTTTCTACGAGAGCCTCAAGGAGTCATCTTAACGCCATTTTTCGGCGCGCAAACAAGACTGAATTCCGTTTCGAGGAAACCCACCACAAAAAATCAAGTGGGTCATCCAGAATTATTTACCGTTGTCTCTACCACTAATAATACCTGTGTACCTAACGGCTACCAAGACCAAGTAGTGACTTCTGACCCTCCCGACCACTCCCTTCCCTAGACTTCGAGTAATGAATTGGTATAGAGTCGGATCATGGCTTGTCCCATCCAGAGAGCTTGTCTCATTTTGAAGTGACGCTGCTTCTTTTTGTTTCCCACAACCGTCCACTCCGAACCTAAACTGAAGGCAGTTTCCCACAATTTTTACAATTCCAACTAGCCTGGGCGTTTTTGTGAGCTAATTTCTTATCGGATCATGCCACAATCACACAGAAATCCTTTATCTTCCTGATTGATCCCATCTTAAGAGAACATAAACCCCTTGATTATGGAATGCGTCTCGCGGTGCCTTACCTATTTCTCCTGAAGTATCATCTTTGATATCGCTCAGTGGCTTTAACAGGACCTATAGAGTTTCGTTTTCTCATTCGGCCTATCTGAGAGAATCCACTATACACCTTTAGCATCGAAATGGCTAGTCGGTTCATTCTTAATCACACACCACTGCGTATTGGTTACGTATGTGATATTGCACCCTCTGTCCAGATGCTGTTTGTCTCATGTATCTCTAGACACATGGGGCACTGGCCGAAATTCCCAACTTCCAAGCACAACAAGTGATGGGAATAACATTCTAGCCTTCTTTTGACCACCATTTGGAATTGACGATCCGAGTCTACGTGATGCGTTCATATGTCGTTTGGAGGGGATCCAGCGAATGCCTTCGTAATGCATGGTGAAAAAAGGGCCAGAAAACATCATGAGGATAGATGCCAAAAAGGATTTGGGCATCTGGGTCTCCTCAAACTTATCCTTCTCACTGCACAATGAGAAATCGGCTCAAAAGGCATTCACCACTTTACGGATGGTCCGACGCACCTTCTCCCGTATTACTCGCATGGACTTCCAAATACTCTATGGGGCCTACGTCAGACCGCTCCTGGAGTACGCCAACCAAGTTGTCTACTCAGGACGCACGAAAGACGTCACCCCCATTGAGCGTGTTTAGCGGGCCGCTACGAAAATGTTTGCCGGCCTCAAATCCGTGAACTACGAAGCGCGTCTCGCGATGCTTGATCTCTTTCCTCTGGAGTACTGTCGCCTCCCAGGGGACCTAATTCTTACTTGCGCCCTGTTTGAACAAAGCTTGGCAAACAGGTTTTTACCGTTGACCCAGCAAACATCCGGCGGTGGCATAATAAGAAAAATTTCAAGCTCAGAACACACACAATCATTACACAAAATTTTTTCTCATTTCGGGTAGTAGCTGCGTGGAATGACCTTCCTCCAGCGGTTGTCCACGCTCCTTCTAGAACCCAGTTTAAAGCACTGTTAGACATTTATTTATGCGAATCCTCGCGCTGGCAAGTATACCACCCCGCGCTGAGAACATAAAGAGCAGTGCTACACCCTTTTTTCAGTTGTGCATTTCAGATGAACGACAGCCGCTGACCTACAAGAACAAAACCGACCCGGGAAACTTCGGCAAAAGCCTCGATCCTGTGTATCAATCCGTGAATGCGTGAATCTTTGTCCTTCTACTGGTGGTAGTACGTATGAACCAATAGCCAGTTGAAGTAGCGCATGTTCGAACCATTTGCTGTTGCCACTGCTCTAATCTTCCATACTCCAAACGTAGGTGGCCACATAGCAACTGTCTTCGTGGATCTGAGAGAGCACAGTGTATCTTGTTAACTTAATCCCGTCCGTCATTCCATTAATCCGTGTAAAATCGAACTTCTGTAGTTAAAATGTATTGTCAATTTATCACTTAGGTCGCGGGGGCTTAAGGCGCGGTGCGTGAACTTTTGCCTCGGCGTTACGGTCCTTCGTTGTACTCAGCTTCCTGCCTCTGCATCAGCCCAAGGATTAATGCAAGAGTACAAACTGGTTGTTCTCGGTAGCGGTGGCGTTGGGAAGAGTGCCTTAACGGTTCAATTCGTTCAAGGAATATTCGTAGAGAAATATGATCCCACTATTGAGGATAGTTACAGAAAACAAATGGAAATTGGCGGCAAGCAGTGTATGTTGGAAATCCTGGATACTGCTGGAACGGTGAGTCTACCATTATTCTTCACCATTTGGGTTGTTAAATTGGCACGGAACAATATGTGGAGCGAAATCAAAGGACGGCCCTAGTGACCACGTGAAGACCCCCAAGCTCCATTCTAGCACGACCAGCAGACTGCTGCTCTGCAGGCCTTCAGTCAACATAGGTATGCGTTTGAAGATAGACATTGCAAGTGAAGGTTTAACTCCGCCCGGTTTTCCGTACCCCAATTCAAATAGTGAATGGTTTGGGGCGATCCCTTCACTACCGAACACCTTGTATTCTCTCTGGGGCTTTGATGAGAATCTTCTGGCTCCTGTAAGACGAATCAGCTTCTCTATCCAGCTTGCTTAGGGTGTCCTACAGCTACTCTGAAAGATGGTGATCCGTGGTCCACTGGTGTGGACAATGTAGTGTCAACAATATTGACATCGACGGGAACCTGGGTCATGATAAAAGAATAAAATGGAGTGACCACGAAATCAGTTGGCAAATTAGCCCTTAGTTCAAATAAAGTTCGTTCACCGCAAAACAACCTCCATCGTTATTGTCGTCGCTGATGGCGACAGTTGAGAACACTGGTGCTTCACTCCCATACATTGCAATTAAAGAATATAGACGAAACATCCTACTTACATGCTGCTCGGGTACTCCCTTTTTGGATCTCAAGTCCTCGGGACGGATCGGCTATTTGCATGCGTCTTGAAAAGGACATTCTCCTGAGCGTGCTCTCCGTTTCTCAAAGAGGAAACGATTTTTCACAACGAAACACAATCGTTCAACTGTCTAACCCTCTCTGTCCAAAGCTGCCATGCTACCCGAGGGAAGCATGAGGGCGGAGATACTTCCAGGTGTGCAAAGCGTAGGCAGAGGCTGGTTGGATGCAGATGTTGGGTTTAAACCATTCACCTTTTTGGTCATTAAGTCCGCGTCCTAACCACAGCACTTTCGGGCTCTGCTTCATCTTAATTTGTTGGGGTATCTCGTATCTTCAAGGCTGCCAGCTTCCTTAGTTGTTGGCCTGTTATTTCGTCGCGGCCATTTATTCTCTTATATGGTGGTCGGAATTAAGTTGAGCTATCCGTGTTCCAGAACTTGTTGGATGTAAATGGAGAACGATGTTCAGGATAACCTACGGATTAGCTAACTCGAGAATCCATTAGTCGCTGTTGGAGGTCTGCAGCGGGTGTCGGCGTTTTTCTTGGGACCCCCAAATTTGCTTAGGGTTTGGCGTTTCTAGTGCTGCAAACTACCTCACCATGACCGATGCTGTGTAAAAGCATAGGAATAGTAGGCAGCTAATGGATATAATAACAGCGTGGTGTAGTACCTATTACATTTGATCCGCAAACTTCATCGATCAGACATCGAGCGACTTATATAGATGACTCCTATTTTCACAGCCGCACGCAGCACAGATGGGGTTGGATAGCATAAGTGGTTTTGGGTGCTTTGGAAGGATTTTTCGAACAGCGTAAGTTCGTTGTTGACGGATGACTGCCGTATCAGCACTAATACTAAACCACCGGATCTGCTTGCCTGCTCCGAGGTAGTACAGATGTCTAGTTGGTTATAGTTTTGGTAATCATTTTCAGCGCCATCCTCCCACTGAATCTGAACTATATTTCGGCAGACATTGACCAATCGCATAAATACCATCAGCCTCAGCCCAGATGTTTGCTTCTTTTAGCTGGTGATGTTTTCACCCTGTTGAACGATAGCGTGTTTCATAGGTTTGCCACTCTTGGCAAACGTCTCATTGACTCACAGTATTCGATTTTCCTAATTTCAACCGGTTTCATATGATATCCTCCTGTTATATCTATATCAAGTGTAAATAACCCCTTTTCTTAAAAGGAAACCACTCAAGCTTGCTGAAAACCTCGACAGCCCACCAAATTGATATACAAGCGACCGTATTTGTTGAAACCCCTTTTCTCTTTCTATTCCGTGGGGAGCCTTCGTCTGCACTTGGTGCTTTGTTACTCTTGAAAGATATAATCCTCTTAGACGTTCCACATAGGGATGATGGGTCACTTTTGCCCTTGGGAGGCCTACTTGGCCCACTCGCTGATCAGACTCCTGAAACCACTCCTGACAATTCGACAACTTTTATTCTCGCCTATCACTAATACGCGCATCTAAACATCCATCTATCTTATCACAATCACATTTTGATGGGACCACGACATCTCCAGCTACCAACCTGAAGTCACTGATGCACCACTGTAGTTTGGATAATATTAGGGATTAGGGATCTCGCGTCTGGTGGAGGAGAGCGATAGTGTGGTAGCAACACCGGGGGTGTTGGGTGGTCTGGTTTCAAATTCTCCGGCTGTCAATTGAAGGCTCGCTGGAATGCGAATTTCGTATCCAGCTGTTAGATGACATCCAGTGGCCTGGAATTTTGGTGTATACCCGCTGAAATACGTAATATTTAGGTCCCTCTATGACTATAAATAACTGTCCACTTGCGACACCTTTCCGTGCCTAGCTGCCATGCAACCCGAAGGAGGCGTGTGGGCTGAGTTATTGCTAGGTGGTGGGCCCTTTGGCACCGCCCGTTTCTGTAAAAGTGAGACTGGCTTTAACTCAGCTGCAGTGGTACGAAGTACGGGATATTGTGTGCAGCCTCACTCGCAAGGGGATTTAGTTCCTTTAATAGGCGACAAATGGAATCACCCAACTGCTTGCTTTTCAACAAATTGCCACCATGGTGTGATATTTAACCATCCATGATTGAGAATGGCGTCATGCGTTTGTTGCTACATATGCTGCTTATGACTGCACCTATCTGACAAATTGCAATAGCAACCAGGCTTTCCTTTCTCAGGGGCGAGATGGCTCGAGTGGTTAGAACGCGAATTTACTGACCGGAAGGTCCGTGGTTTGTACCCGACGTCTGCCTCTCGACTTCCTCTGTCTAATCTTGGGCAACCTCTTGCTTTCTCTGGATGGTATGGCAGCTAGGCACCGAAAGGGTGCTACAACTGAAGGATTATCACTTATTTATTTTTCCCTTTCCCGGAAAATAGGGAAGAAGCCATGGAGCTGGATGAAAAGTAAGAATTTGGCTCTGTCTGAGATAAACAGAACCCATCCAATATTAGGTATCCCATCAAAGCTAATGAGATCTTGGTTTAGTATGTGATGTACACTCTTCATCTGATGGTTGTGGTCTTGTACTTTTCCACTTGGTTTTCTAAGTTCCATTTAATTGGGCTGGAGGTCGTGAGTTAACAATATTCGTTTTTCGGAGGAGATGCTGTTGGCAGTGGTGAGGTGTTTGGAACCTTGTTCACCAAAGTTTTTTGGGCACAATGAATTCCCAATGAATTCGTAAGCCCTCTGGGACAGACGAATCTAACCATGAGTAAGGTCGTGGATACGATATACTTTTTGTGGACCAGTTGTCTGTCTAAGCATGACGAAATTGCAGTGAGCACCGTAACTGCAGCGAACAACAAGGTACTGTTATCAATCGCGCTGCGTTTCAGTATAAAGTCGCTACCCTTACACAGTATCATACAACCCTACTTATCAAGGGTTACCAGGGATAAGCTCTTGTTTGTTACAAATATACAGGCGGCACAGGTTTGGTGGATCACACTTTCTGTTAGGAATGGGAGCAAACATGTTTCAGTTCCCTTGTCGGCGCTTTGTGAGCGAAGTATAACACGGGAGCACCGGTGCTCTGCAAGTCTGATCCTACCCTTGCAGGTGTGTTAACGGACTGAACTGCCTCATAAGCTTGCTGGTCCTGTCAAATTCATCTCTAATCCATTACGATTAAATTGTTCCTGTTTGGTTATTGGGGTCTACCGAGTGTCGAAGTTTGTTTACAGTACGGAATTTCTCCAGATGTTTCTGTCCGGGAGCAGCTTTCTCCATGGCCTAAAATCGAAATGAGTGCTTTTAAACTCCCTGAATCCTGTCCCCCATACGTTAAGTTTAGTTTCCCCTACAATTACATATCATTCTTTAGCTCCCATTTTATAAGTTCTAGAGTGCAATCCAGTTCCATAACCTAATTAGCGTAGGTGTTTGCGGAGCAAAGTACTTCCAATTTAACGTGTCTCTACTTCTTCAGGAATTTGAACATTGGCGCATATAATCTTCCGCTTGCCTTCAGTGTTCGTGAGCTCAGCTTGCCAAACGTTTGATCGGTTATGTCTTCCTTCCAAGCGTCAATATTCCCCGACCGCAGGGTCCTTAGTACAGGCCTTCCCTGATATGAACAAATCATGAAACTGCTGACGTTCTTGTGTATTATTCAGTCACTATTGTTCAGTTAGTTCGTCTTCGGCAGGTCATCGTTGTTTTAGGGCTTCTTTTTGCCAGAGACCACAGATTTTGGGGGTCAGAACAACCGCATTCACGCTTACGCTTATTTAACAGACAGCCAATCTCCCGGAGACCCGCATCTAAATGTCCGGTATTTCGGCAATCCACTCGGAGTCTGATTACCACTGGCTAAATGAGAACTAGGGATTTTTTCCAACGGAATGAGCTTAGCTACCTAGGCTGCTCATAGTACTATAGTAGGGATGACTCTGGATCAGCTCCAGTGAGTGTCCGAATGACGAACCGTAGTTTGCGAAAGGCATTTGAACATACGCATTCACTTTCACATTTAATTTGTGAACAGCTTGGTGTTCATCTCCTTCTAGGGAGGCAGATATCTCAGGTGGTTAGGGCGCTAATTCACTGACCTGAAGGTCCGTGGTTCGAACCCGACGTCTGCCTCTCCACTTCAACTATCTAGTCTTGGGCAACAAGTCAGTATCCCAGCCCTCCTGCTTTCTCTGGGTGGTATGGCAGCTAGGCACCGAAAGTGTGTTACAACCGAACGATTTTTTAGGGAGATAACCAATCGACCAACAATACAGACACACCCACTGTTCACTGCACTGAGGACCCCACGAGAATGTATGGAACATTCCCGGAATGAACTCATGGAGGCAAGCACTGTATTGAGCCGAGTTTAATGACACCAGTTCATCCAGTCCACAACAACTACAGTCGGTCATCCTGAGAAGTCAGGAGTTCCGGCGCAGTTTTGCTTTAATTGCATGCTAATTTAAGCAATTTCAGGGGTTTTCTCGTTTGATCTGTACGCCAATTTTTTGTCTACCGAGAAAGGTTTTGTTTTCGACACCAAACCTGATGTAATCCGATAAGTGGGTAGCGGTAACTTGGAAGAAGGGAATGAACGTTATACTGTGCGTGAGATTCGAATTTCGAGATGTGCTTCACCTGACCTTCCCCGTACTTCGGTAGGAAGCTTGCAGCAGATGGCCTTCGTGCTGCTACTCCATTTCGATCGCCTTGCCGGTTGTTTAAGGTGTCTGTACCTATGATGTTTGCAGTAAACCATAATATACCTCCTTGGTACCGCCTATGGCACCAATTAGCGAATGTGATTCGGGTGTTTGTGGTTCGTCCAGCAACTTAAACAATTTCGTCAGAAATTTAGGGAAATGTTGAAATCCTAATATATTTTACTTTGAATTATGAGAGGCGTGTTCAGAAACTTCTTATTGCAGAGCATGACTTCGTGCATAGCGAAAATTGTACGATGATCACTTGACATTAGTGGGCTGCACTCTCCGTTCACCTTCGATGGTGAGAGCGGTGTCACCAGCATATTCCGGACCGTTGGTTTTTCACTGCCGTACAACTATGTTAATTTAAATCAATGAAGCCTTGTAATGCACTTGTAATGCCTTGTGAGACGCTAAGTGAGAGGGAACCAGGGCCACCCTACCACAAAATTCTAGGTGCATAAAATCCCAACAATCAGGAACACAATCTGGACACAAACCAATAGCACAAACGCCACTAAAGTTGGCTAGTCGCGATATATTTGTGTCTCCAGCCAAGGACAGGAAGGCGAACAGCACCCAAACTTTTCGTAACGTCCATTCTCTCCCACTGTCGCATTCTGTCCTCATCTGGGCTTCAGCTACCTCAAATGAAGCACGGAAAGCAACAATCTTCTTGGCAGACGATAAGCGTGCGTAGCGCATGGCTAACCATCTTAGTTTGCAATGCTGGATGCATCCTTTGAGAGGAGTACCGGCTGCTTCACCAAAAACGCGTTTCCTGATGACCTCAACAAATTCTCTGATTCTGGCCTATTCCAGCTATATTTCTGCGAAGTCCGTGGTCAGAGATATGAAGATGTGAACTGGCCGAATCTCGCTGCCGTACAACAATAAAGCCTGCAATGTTGTCTTTTGAGATCAGGTGATATGTTTTTGATGTCACAAGCGTCGCAAATTGGCAAACGCAATTATTGTTTTTGAGTTTTGTGAGTTTAGTTAGTCTGTTGCTGTCAGAGATAATTCAACGTCCGAGTTACTATAGCATTCCACACCTAGTGTCTCTATGGATTCTCATGGGCATTCTTTTAGAGTGTACTTACTCATCGGAACTTCGGATTTTGTGGATGTAAAGCGCACATAAAGACTGGACGACCCTGGTCAGTTTTCCTAGTAATGTGTGTCCTGCATACTCCTTTTTAAAAATGAGTACAATATCGTCTGCATATTCCACGTGGCCGAGGTTCTCGCTCTGAGAGATTTGAACATTTGGTTCTGGAAATCCTTCAGAATTTGTCTCATTAACTCGATGAAATAAAACAGAATTGAGAAAATGGGCATCCTTTTCGGACTCAACCACTTGCTGGAATGCTTTTGAAGAGCTTGCTATACACTATCTGACGCCCACAAGTATGTGAATATACACCGCGTGATTTTCACGGACGCCTGGGGCGTACCATGTTGCAAAATGGTGCTGAAGGAACGAACCGGCCGACAGAAACGAACGCAGTCTTGAAATCGCAGAACACCAAGATTGCATGGCACATGTGTGCGTGCCGTCGCTCTAACACATGACGGAATGTGAAGACGCGGTCTACCCGATCTTTTCCCAGCTGTCATCTGGTCCTTCCTTCATGTAGCCTCATAAGACACGAAATGGGTGCTCCCAGGAATCCAATTATAACGATGGTGAAGGTAGTTTCTCTGTGATGGCCACACACACTCCGAACACGTGGTACTACCATCAGCTCAGCCCAGTTTACTGGAATGGTCTCATCCACACACATAGGTCGATGACTCAGTGGCTAGGGCGCGAATTTACTCACCCGAAGGGCCGTGGTTCGAACCCCATGGACGAAACGAGGTATTGTGAGAGTCAATTGGTTTGGGAAAAACGTCATCAAACGTGAAAGTTTTACCTGTCTCCGTTTTTCCTTTTTGTGTAGTACTTTATCCAGAGGATCAAGTGTCATTTCTCCTTATTTTACTATGTCCATTAGTTTGGCGTTTCATTTCTGTTTGTTTTATGATTTAATTCAGTTGACGTTTTTTTGTCGGAGTACCGAGTACAGATCGGTTCGCACACATAGTGTTCTATACATTTCCGAAGTCAGTTATCAGAAATGACTTTTGTGGTACATAGCGAATGCAGTCTTTCGGTTATACAAATATACTAAATTCATTTAAGATCTGGTATCTTTAACATTACTTTTTTTGTAAACATTCAGGCGTGGCATGTACCACGACACATTGTGCTCATCTTTGTCCTCCACAACTTCCCACGAAGTCGTGCTTTGACAGAAGTTCAGAATATCGAGTTATTCGTAGTTCTAGGCAATAGCGACGTGCTCCTAACATCATTGCTAGTGCATAACTTAGAATTGCACTTGGAATAGCCTCATCCGTAACGTTCAAATACTTCCCAAACGAGCCTTTATGGACACGTGGGTCACTCCCATGCGCTGTAGTGACCTCTTTCCTGCTCTCAGCTCGCGCTACTCTATTTTACGGAAAACAGTGTCATTATCGATAAGAGTGTGTCGGTGATACTGTCAACACTTTCATCCATTACATGTAGATGCAATCCGCGTACAAACTACGTCCGATCCAACCTGAAACCTAAGTGAACACAACTCGGGTTTCCTATTAGGGTCGATTTGGTAAAGCGCCTCATTTTTTCATTTTACCGCTCAGCTTTCTTGCGGGTAGCTGCGTTTTTCTGCTCTCCATATGTGTTCATTTTTGTTGCTGCCGGTGGATTCATTTTTCACGGGCTACCAGCTTGACTACTTTCACGACCGAGTTCGTCAAGCAACATCACATCTGTAACCAATCAACTCCAGCTGTTCCAAAGAATACTCACGTGATTTCGCTTCTCATATGGTCATTTATATTTCCATGTTACTTCCCCGAAACAGGAACAATTCACTGCAATGCGAGACTTGTATATGAAGAACGGACAAGGTTTCGTTCTCTGCTATTCAATCACGTCCCAATCGTCTTTCAACGATTTGGAGGAACTGCACCAGCAAATTAGACGGGTAAAAGATGTGGACCAGATCCCAATGATTCTTGTTGGGAACAAGTGCGATCTGGACACTGAGCGTGTGGTAGGCAAGGAACAGGGTCAACGGTTGGCACGGGAATGGGGCTGTGAATTTATTGAAACCAGTGCGAAAACAAGACTCTTTGTGGACGAGGTAAGTGATCCTTTGGGATCGGTGTCGTTTTCACAGTTGCTTATCCATTCTGTTTGTGTAGAGTAATCTGCAGTCATGGTCGATTCAACCACACATCGAGAGACTGACAGAAATTCTGTTTGCCTGTAGGTAACTGAAGGAGTTTCAGTCGCCATAGGTATTCAATTTCATTGTCAGCTTTCCCCTTTTTTGATATTTTCGTGCTGCCATAGCTAGTGTGTTTAGTACCTTATATCACAACAGCTTTCGCACGCTCAGTTATCTTCCAGGAAAACTAGTTTTCGTTGGAAGACGTGATGACAAGCTTCACCATGTAATTTCTGATTTGAGTTTGCAAGAGGTGGAGGGTTTCGAGCCATGTGGTTGATTAGTTCATGGTGAGGATGTTCGTGACCGCTCATGGAATACGTCTTGATCACTTTTTATCGAGGAACGATTGACTGATATGGAGACACTAAAAACACTCTAACCACGACACGTATTGCATTCTTGTCGATCACAGCCCAAATGAAAGTACATTGACTGGTTTCACCTCAGCCATATGCTTTTTGATAGATTATTCGTTGTGGTTGCTAACTTCGTCTGTGTACTTTTGATCCCCATTTGTTTTGCTTATCTGTACTCGCCTCTTACCTTACCGCAAAGGCCGTTCCGTCCGACAGTTGTGTTGTGATTGTGCGCAGCTGATCTGCTTACTCAAGTGCATTCGTGTTCCATGTGCTGAAGCTGTGTTGACCTGTTTTCTCATGTGTTGCTTGTGATCGTACCAACAATTAGAATTACGAGACTGTCGCCGGAAGGGACGACGAACGAAGGGGACGAAGATTCCGCTCGCCGTTGTTTGATGTCATCATCATCATCATCGACAGCACGACATCAGTGTTCAACACCGATGTTTCGCTGCGGTACAATCATGATTTATTTGAAAACCTTATTGTGAAGCAATGAATAAAAGTTGACGGGAAAAGGACATGGTGCTACCTTACTACAATTCTTCTGAGTTGCCTACACCTTCAGACACTCATTCAGGCAATCCGGATAGAAACTGACAACAAGAATGCCACTGACATCGGTTGGCAGCCATATCTTGCAGTGTCTCCAACGAGGCACCGTGGGGATCACGCGGTCCCCATCGTGGAAGGCGAGTAGCACCAACAGCACCAAAACGTTTCGTAATCTCCCTCATACCCCTCTGCCAAGTCAAGGGTTGGTCACCTCTCTGCTTCCACCACCCTGAGTTGGACATGGAGACAGCACTCTTCGGCAGACGATGGTTCGACATACTCAACACGTCCCAACCAACGCAGCTTCTGGTGCTGAACACATTCTTTGATGGAAGTACCCGTTTCACAACCGGAAACTCGCTTTCTATTTGTCTCGTTACGAATTCGCCGATACCAACCCACATGAGCTATAGTTTTGAGACAACGTTTGTCGAACACCTGAAGACGTCTCACTTCCGCTGCTCGAACAGGCCAAGTCTCATAGTAATAGAATAAAACAGTCCGCACTGTAGCCTGACACTGCACTGTGCTGGTCATTGACAGACTTGTGCACTTGTTGACACTACTTGGACAGTCGAGGTTTGCGGTATAGTTTTGCTTACCTTTATGAAAATAGTACTGTAGAATTTCGAACCCAATTCCTCTTGTTACTTAGGATTGCCGAACCTACGCGTCACTCAGATTTCCTTATCGGGAACCTCAACAATCAATCAGTTGTGTACGTTATGGGAACAATATCTAGCGGTGTTCTCACCGGAGGTGTAAACACTGCAGCCGTAACAGGCGAATTTCCCCCGGTAAAATACCGTTACTCGCCATTGTTGGAAAGTTTGACGGTCGGTACCGGTCATTTGTTCTTCCCTCGCGCCTGCCCTCCTATACAACTCCCCTCCGTTCTGCATTCAGGGAAGAACTGAAAGTACCAAACTTACGTTTCAATGGTGCCGGTCGTTACCATTAGATTATATGCAATCGCATTGGTGATGTCGACTAAAGTGCTACTTTTTCAGTTATTCAGTACATATTCTTTATTAGGGCTGAGACACTTCATCTTCGACGTGGGACTGGCGGATATAAGTCCATTTAAAATAGACAAGTCCTTGTGAGAGTAACTCCGTGCACATAAGCTACTTAGAAAACTATCGTCTAAAGTACTAGAACTCTTCCCGAAAATTTGAAAAAGAAAACAGCGGTGTGCTTCCCTGAATGTTTACTTCTTTAAACACTCGTTCAGTTTATCTGGATGGCGATCGACTGCACACAGTGTTTCCGATGTAGTGATGAGAAGGTTGCACCACATCTGTCCTAGAAGATCAGTGGCATTATCATCACTCAGTGCCTCATTTTACTTCTGTCAAGCTACACGTCTTTCGTTACCTGGCTTCGCCCCTCCGAAACAGCTATCCACAGAACGCTTTTCATCCATGCTAAATTTCCTCATGTAGATGTTGACTGACCTTCAACGCGGCTCCGATTTTTAGTTCACAATGTTACCCTTTGGACCACAAGCCCGCCAACGGCTTTCATTACTGTCGCTTTTGATCTATCCATGTGGTATTTTTGCTGCTTCGATGGCATGTATACGCGAATGGTTGATCCGTTTATCAGTGACGCTGAAGCGGTGAGTTACGCGGTTATGACTGGGGACGGACACAGAAGTCGCGTAGAGATACTCTTCTGGTTCACTTGAAGGATCTCAATGAGGTTGAAAGTTCCTCGATTGGCTAGGAATTGCAGAATCCGTTCTTGGCACAAGTCATCGGCACGTTGCAGTTTCGCAGTGTTTCATTATGATTCTGATTCTTATACTGTGCATGAACGGAGTCCTGTTCCCGCTTTTTCTCACAGGTCTTCATCAATCTGGTTGGTCAGATTAACGGCTTGATGCCCGCGACTAAGCAGAAAAGGAAAAAGCAATGTCGAATACTTTGAACAGACAGTGTCGGATGGGTCTAAGGCTTACTGTTCGCTATCACATCTGCCGTCTCTTGTTGTTCCTCTGGTCGCATACACCCAGACAAAAACTGCGCTGTGACTGCAGCACCATGCATTTGTTCTCTTACACTGCCGCGGGATTCATTCCTCCTGCTCCTAGTTTCATTCCGCCTCAAATGGATGATGAACATACTGTGAGCTCGGCTGATGTTCTTGTCAGTATGGCATGTATGCGCTCTGTCTCGCGTTTTTGGCCCGGCGGCGTTCCCCGTCGCTCTTGTTGCTACCACTTCCTGCTTCCTGTCACCTACTTGATTATCCTAACTGGTGCACAATTCGTGCAAGGAACAAACAGAAAAGAAATGACTCGAGCATTTTTTCTGTCCATGATTTCACTTCCCGTTCACTGTCCGATTCCGACCATGTGAATGCCATTCCGTTTGCACTGTATTTTTTCCGGACCGTCTTTTAATTTTTCTCGCTTCTCCGTTCTAATCTTCCGTTGCCGGTGTTTTTATCCACCATTTCTGTATGATACTGCTTTGCTTCTCTGTTTTTTTAATGTTTTTGAAAGCGACTTTTCACAATCAACAGGCTAGATACTCTTGAATTCCTCTGGTTATATATAATGTGCACTGTGCTCTTTCATCGGTGTTGATGCAACAATGTAAGTGAGCAATATGTTTCGGCGTGTTGCTTTCGCGGCTTTGCTTGTTTGACCAGCTCTCTGACTTGTTTTCAAGAAAACGATGGAGTTATGCGAATCTTTCCATTTTGCATACTACTACTACTCTAGCGATTACTTACCAGTGAAGATTTCCTCGCTCCAGTGTCTTGTCTTTTTTCCACTGAGTTGCGTCCAATTATTATGAGAGATTGGGGCAGGTAATTCGCCTTTTAATGGGGACCATCCTGTACTGTTCTCCAGAGATTTTTCTGCTTGCTGTTTGGTTTCCTAAGTTGGCAACCACGCAGTTCATCAATCAGGTTCGCAGTCGTATCCGAACTGACAGTTTCAGCTTGCTCGTTTTCCCTTGATGATGTTCGCGTGCTCCTGTTATCAGATTGTAGACTGTGTTTTGATAATCCGGTGTTCCCAAAAGTTCAGGTCAACTGTGGTTCATTGTATGGGGGTGGACATGAAACGGAGACACTGCGACTACTAGCAACTGATGCCTGTGGATGGCAGTTATGCAGATAGTCAAAGACGGTATGATTATGTCCCGGCGGTTGTCAACCTGTGATACAATCAAGGTACTTTAAAATACACTATCTTTCAATGTAAATTTGACAGGGAGCATGTGACTGGAGCTTACCGTGATGTGACCGTTTGCGCACCCCAGTGACCCATTGTGCTATCCTGGGCGGCGTCCCCGCGACACTTATAGAGCCCCTCACACCAGGTTGGTCGATGGTTAGAGGTCTGACAAAGTGTCTTGGTCCTCCAGGTTGGGGGTTTGAACATGTGCGACCTGTTCCGTAGAAGTGGTCATGCATTTGCATTTCCCGCCAAACACCGCTGCCTTGTGGTTAGGCTTTTGAGCCAAAAGCTTTGGTTGAGAACCTTAATCATCTTCCTGTCTAGGTATGGGCGCCGCAACAGTACCCCAGCTCATGTACAACCATGATAATGTGAGTGGTCCTGGAACCATAGCTTTACCAATGACCACCTACTTGCAGACAGTGAAGCTTGCTCTACCGCAGTCCTATTTTGCTGAATATAAGTAGAATCAAAGCAGCTAGTTGATAAGGGACCCGGCACCGATTGTTTGTATCCCGAGTACTAAAAAGTCAAAAATGTACAGCTTCATGAATAGTGTTCCTTCAAGAAAATACACGGGCGTTGTTTTTCCTTAACAAATGATTTTGCATTCAACATCATTAAATAACTACAAGCAGGTAGACATTTCCAAAGTATGTCGCTTTTACTGAGGAACTGAACGAAGTTTATCGCTTATAGGATTCCTCAGCCCACCATGCTGGACAAAATGCCCTCTCATGTTCCCATTGGAACGGTCTTCAGGACGCCGAAGTATTTCCCTTGGCGTGACGCAGCTTATCGAAAAGTTGTTAACCTGTTTGATGCCTTCAAGTAAGCCTTGTACCCGAATTTTCATACATCTGGTTTTACACTTGAACCTAAAATCGGATGTATGGTATGTTTGATATTCAAGACTGATTAAACTTCGAGGGCTGGACCTACCCGATGAGGTACAAAAAGGGCCAGGACTTTAGTATGCTGCCCAAAATTTTTCATCAACCTCAAGGGCCTGTGTGTACATGTCTGAAGTGTATTATGGGTTTCTAGTTCTCACGTGATTTGAGCCGTGAACCAGTTGGGCACGCTGGTGGCTGCAGAACTGTCTCCTGTTCACCTTTTGGTCTGGTCCATTCAGGTTTCCAGGTCTATGGGCGTATGTACAGCCGTCAAAGTGCAAATCGCATGAAGGCTTACCTATGTGCATGTTCCATCGGCGTAGCCCAAAGTGACTGGCCAGCCCAACACGACACACGTACGTCAAAAAACTGTGCTGCTCAATCATCTGACAACCAAGAGCCAGCGGAGTTAAAACTTGTTCATACGTCGTAATTTCACTCACATAGTTCTGGTCCTTTCTGAAAGGGTTGTGCTGTGCTAGTACAGCGAATTCAGTGTCCGCTTAATGTCAATGCTAAGGAAATGTAATGGCATGATGTCTGCCATGCTTGGCAAGTATCGTTTTCCAACAGAACGCTGAATATGGAGGTGTGATAGAAAGTAACCAACAGCGAAAAAGAGGCATTGTTGTTAGACTTCATGTAAAATCATTAACACGTTTTGTGAATTCGAAAACCGAATGGAGTTCCCACCGAAATTCCTATGAACGGGTATCTATTGCATGGTCAAACTAAAGCAGGACGCTTGAGCTCCTAGTTACCACCTTGTGAAGTTAAGTAACCATACAGATCTAAAAGCTGAAATTTAACGTCTAACAATTCCGGGAGGGAGTCAAGGACTTGTATGAAAGGCCAGTTCGATCGGCAAGCAGCAGTACAAGTGATTTGTTGCCATACATCTACCATAGTATATTCGAATCGAGCCATAATGTTTAAACATGACCGAAATGGGAGAATTAGGAGGTCTATCACTAGCTTGCCACACGTATTCGAGACATCCACTACTCTTAGAAAGTCTGAGTAGAAATTCACAGCATGAACACCGGTGACTTCGATTTGCTGCCATTTTTATAGCGTCTGTAGCCGAAAACATATAGAGTAGGTGGTTGGTCACACATAGCTCATTTCATTGTGCCAACTGAGTCTCAGGCTCAAAGGTGTACATGATGGCTTTCACCCTTTTTCAGAACAGGTCACTGAAGCCTGCAATCCAGACTCAGTATTCAGCTCAGGTTCATTCAATGGGAACTTCAACAAGAGTATGTTTATTGCATTCGCTCTCCCTGCAATAAATAACTATAGTTGCGTAGGTGTCCTTCGCAAACCTGCAATTAAAATCTCACGCAGAAACCCACAAGATTGAAATTCGGTGAACCAACAGGCTAACAGACAAGGCCATTTCATCCAGTACCTTTCGTTCCCGAATCTGGTTTGTGAGCGAATGCACTCAGACACTTCGTTTGCTCTGATTGTTCGGAACATTCGTCCACAGGTGGAATGTAAAAGTACAGGTAAAATGACTTGCATGTATCCGTTGGACCAGAGCGCGAATTTACTGACCGGAAGGTCTGTGGTTCGAACCCGACCTCTGGCTCTCGAATTCCCCTGTCTAGGCTTGGGCGACCTGGCAGTATCCCAGCCTTCGTGCCTCCTTCGTGTGGCATGGCAGCTAGGCACCGAAAGTGGGCTACAGCTGAGCGACTATCCGTTGGACCGAGATACATGTACCAAATGGGTTGGTACCGAAGGACTTGCTAAGGTTATATCAGTTACTGCTTCCAGGAAATCTGATTAGCAGAACTTGTGATACTGAAGTACCTCGAGCTGCTGTTCTTAGGCTCTGTTTGATCAACGACAGAAAAAACTGCCTCGTTGGTTTCTGTCAGAGTCCTGCGATGGAGCCTCATAAGTACTGATTGGTTCAGGGTTCGCCAGGAGAGAAAGATCCTTGCGACTGCGTCTGGTTTCGGTTACAGTTTCGCGACAACTCAGTAGACGATACCAGATCGCTTACGGATTTTGGAGAACTGCTCACCATAGAGGCAAATGATGTCTAGCTGAAAACAGGTTCCACCAATATCGACTCCAAGCCGGGATGCAACACATCATTGCCGAAATCTTCATTTCAATGATGACTTCCTTCTGCTTGGCTGGTGTTCAAATTCGCCCGCCACGCTTCCGAAATTTTTCAAAACGAGTCAAAATAATAAAACACCTAGAAATTCCAGTAGGACTCAGATTCCTCCTGAACCGAACGGGATATTTTTCCATCATCCCAAACTAGCCACCCCTTTTAGCATCCTCACCAGTTCGGAAGGTTATTCAGGAAATTCCCCACCCGGCGGTTTTCTTGACAGAACTGAGGCTATGGGAAGAAGGACAAAGATACTGAAAACAGTATTTCTTGACCCATAACCCCTTACCCCAAATAGACGTAGCCAATTGACTGAGGTGAATCAGCCAGTGCTCATTTACTCACAGTGTCATTGCCGTAGCCGTTAGAAATTTGAAATGATGCCTAGATTACCGAGGTAAAACTAACACTTTCAGCATGTTAAATAAAGTATTCATAAAATATCCATAAGTACAAGATTCAGTGGTTACCTGCCAAAAAAGAAAGGGTAGCTTTAAGATCGTAATAGATTTTTGTTGACTGTGATGTTTTCACTATACCCCAACCAGAAGTAAGTTGGTATACACAGCCAGAACCAGGCTTAGCCGGTCTCCCTGGTTGGAGGAATTTAATGGTACATAATCGGCTTTTTGACCATTTGAAAGCCATTTTTTAGAAACGTTTATGGAGGTAGTGGAATGTAAGTGTTGCCCTACCAAGTGGTAAATCAATTGGTTTTGTTTCATGTATTCAGTTACTTCACTTAAACAAAAAAATAAACAAAGTGCCGCTTCGGTGCACATGTTGCATGAGTATTTTCGTCCCTCCAAACCTGCCTGGGAATGAGCGCAACCGCTTAAAAAGGAGAATTTTTTTTCGACGGGCACACATTGATTAATAATGTTCCGTATGGCTCTCTTCTAACTACAATGGATCGAGCAACAATGACATTGTTGAAACCCGCACGTTTTAGTCATCCTTAACGGTCTTGTATGAAATTGGCCGGTGTTTGTAGTTGTTCCACTAGTGAAATTGTTCTTTGTATTTTGCAGATCACGATACCACTGGCCGATTTGTTATGGATCTAAACAGCTGTTGTGACCTAATCATCCGCTTGACCCTAGATAGAACAGTATTAACTCAAAAGAACGGCATTATGTGTAGAATATCCAAACGTATCCCTTAGCCATACTTCTTTGAACATATGTTCACTATGGATGAGCTCAGTCGCAGAGTAATTTGAAGGTTAGAGTAGTCTGCCCATTTTACAACCACAGTTGATGGATGTCGGAAGGCTGGCCATTGTCGAAAGAGGGAATATCAAATTATTTACTACTGAATCAGCTGCATTCGACACGCGGTACATCAACAACGTGTCCCAACTTTACCTACACCCCAGCACATTACCATCTCTGTCCCTCCATCCTTACTCAGCCAAATGCAGTGTTGTTGAATCTTCATGCCTTTATGTATGGGATCCTGGCCAACTCAGTGAAACTTTCTGAGGCAAAAAATAACCGGAAAATGATTCTAATGAGTGGACAGCCTCGATATGAAGGACCTGACAAGGAGGATTAATGTTTTTTGTATAGGCCTAACACACTA